TACTACTAATAGTATATTAAAAATTTTAAAATAAAAATTTTTTTGTATAATTTTATTATAAACTTAAAAAATAAATTAATTTTAGTTAAACTAGAAGATTTATCTAATTTTGTATATAAAAATTTTTTAAAATTTTTTTTTAGATTTTTTAGAACTTTTAAATACTACTAGTAATATAAAAATATAAATTCAAACTATTAATAATAAAAATTTTTTACAATTTACTTTTTAAAACTATACTAAAAATTTAATAAATTGTACTAAATTTAGTATAGCAAACAGATAACTAATAATAAAATTTTAAATAATTTTAATCAAAAGTATTCAAACTTATATTAACAACTGTCCTATAACAATACTATAGTTGATCTATATATTATATATTTTATATTAAAAAAAAAATAGATAAAAATTGTAATTATCAATAACAATTTACCAACTCTCTTATAGATAAAGTCAAGACTACTACTTATATTATTCTCCTTTAAAATTTATTTGTATACTTCTACTAGCTGCTATAAACTTGTAATTATATTTAGGTTGTTTAATATATAGTAATAATTTGCAATAAATTCTAAATTAGACCTATAATACAAATAATAATTATTATAATATAATTAATAATAATTTTTAATTATTTAAAAAAACCAATTTTTTATATAATTAAACTTTTAATTTATAAAATTTATTACTAATTTTATTATTAAAAAATTTTAAAATATACTAAGTATACTACTAATAGCATATTAAAAATTTTTAAAATAAAAATTTTTATAAATTTTTTTACATAATTTTATTATAAACTTAAAAATAAATTAATTTTAGTTAAACTAGAAGATTTATCTAATTTTGTATAAAAAAATTTTTTTAAATTTTTTTTAGATTTTTTAGAGCTTTTAATAAATGTACTACCAGTAATACAAAAATATAAATCTAAACCATTAATAATAAAAATTTTTTACAATTTACTTTTTAAAACTGTACTAAAAATTTAATAAATTGTACTAAATTTAATATAGCAAACAGATAACTATTTTAATCAAAAGTGTTTAAACTCATATCAACAACTATTCTATAATAATACTGTAATTAATCTATATATTGTATATTTTATATTAAAAAAAATAGATAAAAATTATAATTACCAGTAACAATCTGCCAACTTTCTTATAGATAAAGTCAGGATCACTGCTTATGTTATTCTTCTTTAAAATTCATTTGTATATTTCTATTAGCTGCTATAAACTTGTAATTATATTTAGCCTGTCTAATATATAGTAATAATTTGCAATAAATTCTAAATTAAGCTTATAATAAAAATAATAATTATTACAATATAATTAATAATAATTTTTAATTATTTAAAAAAACCAAATTTTTTATATAATTAAACTTTTAATTTATAAAATTTATTACTAATTTTATTATTAAAAAATTTTAAAATATACTAAGTATACTACTAATAGCATATTAAAAATTTTTAAAATAAAAATTTTTATAAATTTTTTTACATAATTTTATTATAAACTTAAAAATAAATTAATTTTAGTTAAACTAGAAGATTTATCTAATTTTGTATAAAAAAATTTTTTTAAATTTTTTTTAGATTTTTTAGAGCTTTTAATAAATGTACTACCAGTAATACAAAAATATAAATCTAAACCATTAATAATAAAAATTTTTTACAATTTACTTTTTAAAACTGTACTAAAAATTTAATAAATTGTACTAAATTTAATATAGCAAACAGATAACTATTTTAATCAAAAGTGTTTAAACTCATATCAACAACTATTCTATAATAATACTGTAATTAATCTATATATTGTATATTTTATATTAAAAAAAATAGATAAAAATTATAATTACCAGTAACAATCTGCCAACTTTCTTATAGATAAAGTCAGGACCACTGCTTATGTTATTCTCCTTTAAAATTTATTTGTATACTTCTACTAGCTGCTGTGAACTTGTAATTGTTATTCTTTAACACACACCGTACATCTTCTTTGTTTGAAATATCATAACTTTTATTATATTTTTTAAATGAAGGTTGTGGATATCTTCTATGCGTATCATTAAATTGATGTGATCGAACTTTATCAATGAATGAGGCCCAACTTATTATCAGAAATGGAGTGCGAGCAGTGCTTGCTTTTGTCCAGTTTCGGATAATGAATGGATGAAACAAGTTGGTAAATTATAGTAATTTATCAACTTGAGATAGGCATCTAGAAACAAAATGGTATTTGCACTTAACAAATTCGAATCCATTACGTTTAACGCTAATGCTTACGATCAATAATATAAACACGCTTTAAAATCAAACCAGTTTTAAGACTATAAGCATCAAATCCCCTAAACCCCAATCCTAACCCTAAAAAAATGTTAAAAAAGTGCACCCCAAAAATTTTGTATTTTTCGGTGGCTTGTCTATTTTACACTATCTCTCTCATTTCATTTTTAATCTGATTTTCCGTCACAGTTATTATCTTTACGGCATTACGTTTACATTAATATATATGACGAAAATTAGGTTTGTTTGCCTTTTTTTCTAATTTTAATTAAAAGTTAATTTATTGTGGCGACACGGGACCATTTGATTGTACAAGCAACAAAGCGAAGAAATGTTTTCGAAGGAAACATAATCGATTGTCTGGAGAGGATGCTAGGTTAATAAATTAGGTATAGTAATTGCGTAGGTCAATAAATAAATAATATTGATAGATAAAATAAATTATATATTTTTTTTAAATGCAAGTTTCATTAATAAATAGTAATAGTGATACGTAGCAGGTTTTACTAACTTGCACATGCAAGCACGATTATTAATACATTTGTATGAACTGAATTCGAAAACCGGTTTTACGTGAAACAGTGTTCCGACGAGTTTTTAAGCACAAACTAACCAGTTTGAGCAGGATAACATCCCTAGTTTAAATAAATCAAAGATTTTTATATCCACAAAGTTTATTAATGTTAAAGCCAATTAAAATTCAAAACTTAAAATTCACAATATATAGTTAACTTAGCTTTTCAAGCTTTTCAAACAAATAGTTGCAAAAAACCAGTCTCACTTGCAGATTTAAATAATATTTGCAATGAAAATTCGCAATGAGAATTTGTGGCACAATTTATCACGTAATGCATAGTTATCCTTGATTTAGGTGAGTCATTAAAAAATTGAAATACGTACGTACTGTACGTACGTATTAGCGTTAGGGGGTTTCAAGGATTTTTTTAATGCGTAGCATGTTGAATTAAGCAAATCGTTAAGAATTTAATCATATTTTTAAATACTCAAGAAATACAGAAGAAATACACATTTTATTGGAAACAACCATTTTAACGTTAACTTTTTGATAATCTAAAAATTATTAGTAATATATTGAGACGAGTTTTATAAATTGGATAAAACCAGTAAAATAGATTAAGCGCCTCACTACATACTGTAATGATCTGATTGTCTGAGAAATTTGGTTATGCTTGCCATTTATGTTGAAAAACCTGGTTCTGTAGGTAACGATTTTTTTCATACCGTAAAGTTACTTATGTTACAATGAATTTTCAGCGAAATTGTTATCGATTAATCGAATCACATTGAGGGAACTTCCCTAAATCAATTAATATATTTCTTCAGTTTTAAATAAAATTATAGCAACTCACTAATATTGTAATTTCAGCCGATTTGCAATACAGTATTAAAAAAAAATTGGAATGTCTGAAAAATTATTTTCAATATCTGCTCAAATAAATACAATTATAGGTATTATGTAATAAAGTAATATATATCACGCTGATCGACTACGTATGATCTTATTGTAATTCCTGCAATATTAGTATACTTATGCAAAAACTGTGAATAACTAAATGTAAAGAATTTAAAAAAATAGTTAGTACACGAGAAGCTGCGAAAATGCAGTCTACTTTTAATCTAGTCAATCTAGACGGCACAGATTTAAAGACGAATGTAAATAATCCAGTGCATTAAAGTGGCTGTCATTCACAACTTCATAAATTCATAGCAAATAGACATAACTATTTTGTATTTCTAACGCCAAGTTATTGAGCTACAAATGTAATAACGTTAACGAATGTTGAGTTGAAAAAAAAATTTATTATGATAAATATGCACAATGATATTGAGTAAAAGCAAATGAATTGGTTTCGGATTTGATTTCATCTAAATTATGGTAGTTTTTTCTGTTAATTCAGTCAGTAAAAAAACTATTTTACATGATATTAATTATTACAATTTGAATGCCAACCAAAGAAAGTACTGTATTTGTAACAAAAAAAAACACCCATTATTATACGATCTTTTCGTATGAATATATTCATGGTACTTATGGCACTTCTAATTGTCGCCGCCCCCCAATAACAGCAGCATCTTTAGACTCTTGTATATAACGTATTCCTCTCCTATTACGGCTACTACCCCTCTTTTTACCATTTTTTCCATTTCTTATCTTCTCCGCTGCTAATTCATCTTCACTATCAACATCTGGATCATCAAGATTCTCAAACTCTCCATCAATCGTTAAATTTGAATTTCTATTACCTTTAGGCCATTTACCCATGCAACGAGCTATAACCCATAAAATTCCAAATAGTTCGAATAACCACATCAAAACTAAATTTGCAAGTCGGATACGACAAGTGTCGAATGTGACGGTGGCACTGTATGCGGCAGATGATGGACAGTAGGGTGGAATTTCACCTAATTCATCTCTGGTAAGAACCGTATAGATTACTAATATCAATATTAATAATACAAGTTATTATGAACTTTTTTTTTTCAAAGATGCTATAGTAAAATTTATAGTCATGAATAATTTCGAATAATTTACCCGCGACGATAGTCCATGCGATAATTGCTGGACTTCACTCGTCATCAATATAGAATTAATTTTATTATTAAATGGTAAATACGTATCGGCGATTATGATGATTATGATTAGAAAAAAGACAAATCAAACTTTAATAATTACATAATTCCTTCATTGACGGAATCAAGGAGCCCTTTTAGTTTACATCTATGATATATTCCAGATATGAGTAGACAAACTATATCAAAGATTATATAAAGAATATATCAAAGAATATATCAAAGAATATGTCAATTAATTAGTATATATAGAATGTCAATTGACATGTAATTTGAATTGTTAATAGGATGTGTAAGATGTGTAAGTTTAAGAAAAAATTTCTATAATATAAAACAAACAATATGACATGCATAGTTCTCGGAATAATCAAATATATGCACATCAAAAATAAACAAATTGTAATATGATAATAAATAATATTAATACTTACTTGGTATTGAGACTGTAAGTCCCAAATAACTTTAAAAAAATAATTAGTATTAACAAAGAACCAATCATAAAAGTTTTTTTCAAAACAAAAGTTACCTTTCTACTTCTCATCGAATAATTCAAATATAGCTTACCAATATTCGATAACAATACTTTCATAATTTAATTCATTTCTAAAAATTGCGAATTTCGTGATTTCTATATTTATTTAACATCATTCCCAACAAAATTTTCATAGGGATATTAGTATCAAGTATATTAAAGGAAGTATATTAAAGTAAGAATGGAAACCCACCCAAGATGGGACAAAGTATTGATAACAATAAGAGTGGTATTCCAAATATCGTTGCGATAACATTTCTAATCTTAACTTTTCTATGATTAGTCATCTTTTAATTGATAACTAAATGGCCTTGGTTTATAGGTATAAGTAAAAATAGGTTTATTTTCACAAGCTTTCGACGAAAAAAAACGTCGATTATCTTTATTTTTTCAAAAAGACAAAAAAAAGAATGACGCGACAATCTTCACGACTTTGAATGTGGAATAGTAGGTTTCGGGGAACTAATTTACAAATGCGTAGAGTTTTTTGTATTAACATAATCATGTTATTTTTTTTCCTTATTATAAAAATGAAATAAAAAAATTTGGTAATTATGAATAATGAAAAGTATCTTCAAAGCCACATTTATCTCTAATGTTGTGTGTGGGCTAGTCATATTATAATTAATGAAACATGAATTAAATCTCATTGTTGTACCGATTTTGGTATTTTTATTTTGACAGCTATTACAAGTTCTCTCACTTTCTTTAATTAGGTCCGGAATGGGTCGGCCTTTTTGAGCTTTAGTTGGAAGTTAGTCTGGGCCGCACCCAAAGTGCTAATCACATGAAAAATTATGTGGCTAGCATTTTGGGGCGGCCCAAATTAACTTTTTAAAAAAAAGCCTGGGCCGGCCCTATTTTTTAATAATAAATGTAAAATTTTAATTATTATATTAATTAGTATATTAATTATTATGTTAATTATTATATTAATTATTATGTTAATTATTATATTAATTATTATATTAATTATTATGTTAATTATTATGTTAATTATTATATTAATTATTATATTAATTATTATATTAATTATTATATTAATTATTATATTAATTATTATATTAATTATTATATTAATTATTATACGTATTAATGATTATTATTAATTATATTACATTAATTATCGTTATATCGTATTTGTCATTCAAATAGTATATGAGGAAAATTGATTGTAATCCATTGTCATTAATGAAATTAACCAAGATTTTTTCGAGTTTTGGTTAATGTATATAATCGTAAAAAAACATTTTTTACTCATAATGGTGAGACTACCCGCATTCACCAAACATGTATCTAATTAATAATGAAATTTTGTAATTGAAATTACTAAATTTAATGCAAGTCTCATATTAACAAAGGTTTTTTCTTGTTTATTAATTGGTACTGTCTTGTTTATAAGCTTTAAAAATTTGTAAGATATTTTCTAAATATCTGTAAAATTTAAAAAAAATCATCAATATGTAAAATTGATTTTGTATTTCTATATACGTAGTAGTCACAATGTTAAATGTGTTAACGTATTGAACTATTCATAGTCACTAAGCCACATATGATAATCTCCCAAGAAATTTTCACGAACACGTGATTAATTTACCAATTTGTGCTAGTTACCCGAAGACAGATAACGATAAACTTGGTTTCCTGGTGAGGTTACCCGGTGTGACACGATTTTTTAAATAGTGAAAAATTAAAAATCACACGTATTTTATATCACATAATCGTATAAATAATATTTTAAAAAATTGATCTAAAATTGATCTGAATTATTTGTCACGCATGGTACTATAT